ACTACACTAGGATTTCTGTTTTTAACAATAAAAATACCCAGCGCTTGAGGAGGTAATCATCTTTCCTTGTTTTTAAAAGATGGGAATATTTAACTAATACTCCCATCTTTTTTAACCCAACACACTTAAATACAGTAGGCGCTTTTCCTTAGGAGCTGAGCTGAATGGTCTTGAAATGAATTTCATGGTGTGGTTTAAAGGAATCAATACAAGTGTATAAAACACTAAACTTTTATATGCAGATATACTCTGAATAACGTGTTGTGGTTTTTATAATCTGATGGTAAGAAAAGATGTATTTCTTTGGTTGGGAGAAAACTATTTTTCTATAGCCTTGTATTATGAAGTAGGGCCTCAAAGGTACAACATATTTACTGAGTCTAAAACAGAATTCCCCTTTTCTAGTTTTTCTGCTTGTTAAATAAAGCAGCTACCTAAAAACTGGAGATATTTCCAGAATGAAAAAATATCTAAGAATCTACTCTAATTTTATAATCTTGCATACGAAGCAAAAACACTATCCCACCACTATCCTTTAAAGTACTTTTTGAGGGGCGCCTGGGTGACTTGGTCGGTTAAGCGTCCGACTTCAGCTCAGGTCATGATCTCACGGTCCGTGAGTTCGAGCCCCGCGTCGGGCTCTGTGCTGACCGCTCAGAGCCTGGAGCCTGTTTCAGATTCTGTGTCTCCCTCTCTCTCTGCCCCTCCCTGTTCATGCTCTGTCTCTCTCTGTCTCAAAAATAAATAAACGTTAAAAAAAAAATAAAAAAAAAAATAAAGTACTTTTTGAGATTACATGCTAGACATAATAGCAACAGCTATTACTCTACTACAGGTCGAGCACTGTATGATTTATACCTATTAACTCATCTAATACAGAAACATCCCCATTTTATAGATGAGGAAAGTGAGGCACAGAGAGTTACTTGCCAAAGGTGATGAAACTAGGAAGGAGTGGAGTAGAAGCTCGCATCCAAACAATCTGTGCTTTTAACCTTCACGCTAGATTTCCTGAGGTTTTCGACAGTAATGAGAAATTCTATAATTTGATTATATGACAATCATAAAGCTTTCTGACCAGTGGAATTTTAAAATACCAATTTCCCTACCAATCTACTTGAGACAAGGGTGGTATCAATTTGCCAAACTTGGAATTTCTGAGCGTTTTATGAATGAATAACTTGACTCTACATTCCATTTAAAAGAAACAAAAACCTCTTTCTGACATTTCCCTTTCTGGCAAGAGTTCAACCCTCACCAAAACATACATGCAGGTATTTTCAAAATTCCATATACTGTCATCACAACATTCACACATTCACAACACACGTGCACACACACACACACACACACACACACACACACACAGAAAAATGTATTCCTGTTTCAAAGATATATGTTTCAGGCTCCGACATTAGTCCATCATTAGATACTTCTCTTAATTCTAATGGTATAAAAGACTTCTTGAGAAACACAGAAGGAAGGCACACAAATACAAGATGAGCTGTAGAAAGATTCTAGAACAGTCCACGGGCAGTAAAAAGAAAGTAATTTAAAGTAAATAAAATGTTAGGAGCCAAGACAGTGATACAAGTAGCACATTGAGAGAAAAGGGCAATGGAGACAAAGGTGGAGAAAAACAGTAGCAGAGGGATCCGGATAAACACTGAGGGAGCGCGGGAAGTGCTAACGGGCAGCTACCTACCTGCACGTACAAAAGCAATTCTATTTCAGTGATTGTATCCGTCAATTCTGATGGCATTAACTCGCTCTTCAGTGAAATTCACAACGTAACAAAACTTCAGTGTACAAAGAACAAGTCATACTTTGAAAACAGAGACAACTGGGTTAAGAATTAGCTTTCTAACTTGAGTACTCGAATATTTGGAGTTTTTCCTGGAAAGTGAAGAGTTAACAACAAAAATAACACAAATCTCATCTCTAGGGGAAAAAAAAAAAAACCAATTATTTTGAAGAGTCCTTCAAGATATCAACCTGATTTTGACTTAAAGAGTAGAAATAACATCACAGGTTCAGTATGTACTCAATTTTTAAATTTGTTCAAGAGGCTATTCAAAATGGCCTTTATTTAATATATGGGGAAAATTCCTGAAATTTAATTGGTAACAGATTAATCATGCTCTCTTACTAATCCCTCACACTGACTTAACACTATGGCTGTATTTCGAAAGTGAGCATGGGAGTCAGTAAATATAACACAGCGGTCATGGAGGTTATGTTCTCTGTCCAGTCCCCTCTAAATGCAGTTTAAAAATGTTCAGAACGTTTGTGTGTGACTAAACACTGCCAGTGTTTCCAAGCTAGGGAGGTAACCAAGGAAATATTTGGAACTAAAGATAATCTCCTATATTATCATTCCGAAGTTCTGCAGGTCTCACTTGACCTTGGAAGCAGCTGCAGAACTGAGAGAATCAGTCTAAAAGAAACATGTGTACCATTACTGTAGGATATGGAAATCTACGAGTACGTGAAGATATAGACATATCCATAGCTCTTATCTATACACACACATACGCCACTCCACACTTTCCAGAAGCAGAAAATAGACTCATCAACCAGTAATCTCCGATCCTCTGTTTACACATCTATACATTCAACTCTAAAACCTAGGAGAGAACCTTAGGAAGCGCCTAATGTGAATGCCTGTGGTCCATGTTTACAAACCACCGGCTGTCTTAGAGCCACAGCCCAGCCCCACGAAACAAAACTGAAAGAGTTCAAGGCTAAGAAAGGACGCACAACGAAATAACATGCGGGATGCTTAAACTTGCACATCGTGTGGCTCTTGACAAGTTAACCTCTAAAGTTGTGATGGTTTCTTGAAAGGCAATCTAGGGTTCTGTGTCCCTAAGGGGCATGACTGTTTGTTAAAAGAAAACAGTCAGAGTCCAAACAAAGAAAGCAAATGCTTGTAGCCTTTGAATAATACCATCCACAAAAGCTTAATGTCAAAGCAACCTCGCATTACCAAAACTATGAGTTCATGAAGCATCACAGGAAATAATTTAATTTATGTACTCCTAAGAAGTTTTGAAACCAACTTTATTCTTTTAATTAGCAGGGAAACTAAACCCAGCTTCCTGGAGAATACACAATTGCATCACCCAAATGTGGATGCAATAGTGGTGACAATCGAATGCATTCTAGATTCTGCGTGCTGAAAATAACACACGTAGGCATTAAGTCCTATCAGTTTCTGAACTTTTTCTTTTACAGTAGGTAGCAGATAATACTCGTCTTGTCAGTTCAGGGAACCAACCTGACGTGGCATCTGATACCAGGCCCCCAGCTACGGCCCCGCCTATCTTTCTAATAGACTAAAAGTTCCTCAAGGGAAGGAAAGAAGAATTTCCTTTATCTCACTGCCTAGCACAATGCCTGGCACACAATAAACATTCGAGAAGTAAGTACTGACTCAACGAATCTGTTCAATAAAGCAGGTTAAACTGAACACTTCTACTCCTAAACTTGTATTTACTTTAAGGTTCTCAATTTTTGCCTATACTGGATGTTTACAAATATCTTCCTTATTTGTCCTGAAAATGCCTATCACGATTAGCCAATTTTTTATTCGTAATAAGAAAAAGAAAACGAGGATGTTTACCCAGCTCGGCTCTAAATAGTTTTATGTGGACCATCGTTGGTTCAAATTAAAGTGAAACCTATTTTCATTGCTTGCCTTAACAAAACCTAATACATGCACATTTGTCTTTAAAACACACTTTAGAATAACGCCCAGAGGGTAAAGTAAGTGACTTGGAGTCTTTCTTACTCTAACACTTATTACGGTAATGGGCATTCAGCATTCAGCGACCAGTAGCAATCCACAAGCCTAAGCACAAAGGAAACGTTACTGCCTAAGGAATAATTTTAATAAAAAAGATACTATGATCCACAGCCACTACATACAAGTTTTTAATTTTTGAGAATCAGCCATGGGCAATAAATGAGGCCAAAGTCATGAGCCTGATCAGCACGTGTATGTCATTAGTTTCGTTTGTGGCACGAACTGGACTGTGCCCTAACCTGAGTTAGCTGACAGGTATGTAGCTAAGCAAGGAGGAAAACGAAATGACAGAACACGGATCAACACACATCCATCACCACTAAGTTTACTCAGATGGAACACACGTGTCGTGGCCAGCAGTGTAAACGGTGACATCTTATTAATTGTAAGGCAAAAGTTCACAGGCCACTCAAAAGTTCTCCTGGGCTCAGGATTTTTCCATATATCTGTGACGGTATTCTATTTATAACCCCAACAATACTCACATATTAATATAAAATACGACCACATATTGAGTATCCAACTTCTAAAGCATGGCTATAGAACTGTATAGAACTAGAATTCATGAAGAATTTACGCGAGCTTAAGTCAAGGTCAAGTCACTGGACAACAGTGCCACCTTCGTTACTAATTTGCAAGTGGCAGTGGGGAAACTACAGAACTAATAGGTGTCTCTTCCTGGTTAAGTGTTTTATTAAAATAAAAGACAGAGCTAGAAAACAAGGTTATCTCAGAGGCTGTGTCTTGAATGAAAAATCAGACACCATACGTCTCAAATACCGTGTGCAGCGGCAGAATTCAGGGCCCCGGAGGGCTTACTAGAAGCTACAGAGGCTTGGGGCCCGCTCCTTGAGATTTTGTTCTTGCAGACTGGAGACAGGGTCCAAAGAGCTGTGCTATGAAGAGGCACACGTGTGAGTGATGCGGATGACATTCTGGTCTGGCTTTGAAGCTCTGCCCTAAGCCCAACGGGACCCTGGGAAAGGAGGTTAAGTTTTGTGACCTGCTCTGTAGAAGCCAATGTGCGCCCGGCTTCCTAACGGAGAGATGAGGCCTATCTGGGGATGTCAAGTGTTTATCGTTCTAGAATGCCCCGCACATCCTTTATTTTTGAAAAGACAGATTAAATATGCAACCAGCATTAAGACGGTAAGCAGTGTCTGTTCAGTAGGTCCATCCAAAGAAAAGGTACCTAATGCGACTGGGTCTGGGTTGACAGGACTCTGCTGCCTTGAGTGGCTGCTGCTGCCACCGCCACCCTTTTTCAAGTCCTCGGCGTCACTGTAGCGCCGGATCCAGTAATTCAGCTCCTCCCGGTCTGCTTCCTGACATCGCCTTAGTACAGTGAGAGATCGTCGTGTTTTCTCCACCATGTCCATTATGCAGTTTAACAGCTGTGTGAGAAACGGGGCACAGGGGAAGAACACAGCAATCACCACAACGCAAAAGACTCTGGTGGGCAGCGAAACAAACTCTTTTAGGACGATGAAGGATGTGATTTTATTCCTGAAGGCTTCAGTCTAGTATCTTCAAAGGTCAGATTTGAAACGGAGACCCAACAGATGAGTAAACTCAATGGGAATGAGAGTGAAATGTGGGAGGCGTGAACATGACTCACGACAGAGATTTCAGCTGAAGGCACACAGCCAACTTCCAAATACTAATCCCATTACTGTATAAACTAAATGACCCGTTTGCGATAAAACAGGAACCCACTGATCTGGCCTTGAGGACTCCTTTCCACGACCTCACATCTCTCTTACGTTAGCGGCTTTGTTATCAACGTAGAAATCAAATCCTAGATTTGATTTCAAATGTTCCCACTCATTAGGTTTCTCAAGGATAGCACAAAACACAATACCCTCAAAGCATCTCCAACATTTCTATTTTATCATAGAACCCCACTCCAGTTCTTTTCAAGACATATTTTAACCTAAATGATTACCGACATCTTACATGGTCAAGATGTTTCCATTCCTCTGCCCATTCTCTGTCTGTTAGTCTGTGATCAATCATTTCTTCTTGACGTGTGCCATGCAACCCTATGAATGTACAGAAGAAGGCTGAATCACCCTAAAGCATTCGGGACATAATCCATATGCACACAGGCACTTAGCAAAGACTAAACTAAATGATGTGAAAATACATTCGATTCTGGATGGAGACACAAGTCATATTCAGATTCACAATTACCGAATGGGTTCTTCATTGAGTGATAAAATGCTAAAACTAAAAGGAATTTTAGAGGTCATCTGGTCAGAACGCTTTCCTTTACATATGAAGAGATGCGGAGTAAAGTGACACCGTGCGCTGAGTCCATTATCCATAGAATGTTCCCAAAGTGAAAAACATAAATATATCCTCTTAACAAATACAAGAAACCACAGCGGATATTAAGTGGTTTCAAAGTGTAGCTTTCTAGCATTAAAAATAAAGATAGCACAAATCACTTTACGTGGACAGGGTTATGCTTTCTTAAAACAAGCATGGTAAAATTTCTCCGCATTTCATCATGGGTAAAGGAACACAAACCTGTTGCGTAGACCTCCATGATGAAATTGGGCTGGCACAAGGTGAAAGCAACGTATACTCACTCGATTTACCAAAACATTAATGAAAAGAAATAAATTGGACATCCTTTATGAAAAAATTCAACACACCAGACCTAAGTTTGGACAAATGTCTCGCATCCAAGCCAAGAAGCTGAAAATCCCAATTTGTAATCTCTAGCGTTAAGTATTAATGCTCTTTGACATCAGAGTTAAGGTACAACCCAAACACGTAACCTGGAAACGTGCACCAAGTGAGTACCGATGGCAGTGAACGTGAGCAATCAGGTAGGAGGCTCATCAAAACGGAAAATAAATGTGTCTCACTGAGAGAACAGGGTGGAAGGCTGTGATCAGAGACCCCCGGAAACATGTTGCTCCTCCTACAAATCCATCATGGATGAAACAGCTTATTGTCCACTACAAAGGAAAGGCATTGGACTATGGCAATGTTGTCCATTTTAAATGATTCAAACTCCTTTTGGGTTAGCACTTCGCACACTGTTACTCTGAACAGCAGATTAAGTGTAGTGTGGTTTGGTCTTCTGGGCATCCAGGCTCCTTCTCAAGAGGACATTGTGTAGGAGTTAAAGGACAGGAAGAGTTAGGAGATGTTACACTTCATTTTCTGTGAAATCAGAGTGGCTAGAAGTCCCCTCTTTTACCTGATTTAGAGAAATAAAGAGGATGAGTCACATGACTCTTTTTCAGCTAACCATGAAATGCGATTTAATTTATAGCTAATAGAAGTGAACAAATACAGGATAGTGCTTTCTCCAATTAAATAAAGATCTAAATATAAAACACTTCACACCATCCTTGTCTAATTAGAGCATGTTCGGAGATTCATTTTTAAAGTTAAAATTGTCAATGCCACCTATTGGTAAAAAAGTAACATTGCAAATATGTGTTAATTTGCGTAATAGAAAAGACACTGGGGGAAATAATATTTAGTTATTACTCTGTTTGTTGTGACTATTTCAAGTTGAAATGTTTGCAAATATGTAATTTTTGTTGACTTATTTGTTGCTTGTGTTTTAGGGGGAAAAAAAACCACTACTGTTGAATGAGTCATCACAGAAAACAACCAGAGAGTGATGAAGATATAAATATGGCATCGACTTTCACAATGGAAGCATCTTACTATTTGCTTTTAAGGACCAAGAACTCCAGAGGTCTCAAAAGTTTCAAAAATTCAAGGGTGCTCGGGTGGCTCAGTTGCTTTAATGGCTAACTTAGGCTCACGTCATGATCTCATGGTTCATGAGTTCAAGCCCTGCACTGGACTCATTGCTGTCAGTGAAGAGCCCACTTTGGATCTTCTGTCCCCTTCTCTCTCTCTCTCTCTCTCTCTCTCTCTCTCTCAATCTCTCTCTCTCTGCCCCTCCCCCACTTGTGCTTGCTTGCTCGCTCTCTCTCTCTCTCTCTCAAAAAAATAAACATTTAAAATTTTTTTTCAAAAATTCAGCAGATCTAAACCAGTGAGGATACAAGCTCTAACACCTGGAATAATATTAATGAGCAACAAGATGTCTGTGGCTAATGAGATTCCAACATTTGTAGAATACTGCTAAGCTTCATCTCATTAAAAAAAAAAAATGTACAGGGGTGCCTGGGTGGCTCAGTCGGTTGGGTGTCCAACTTCAGCTCAGGTCACGATCTCACGGTTTTTGAGTTCGAGCTCCGTGTCAGGCTCTGTGCTGATTGCTCGGAGCCCGGAGCCTGGAGCCTGGAGCCTGCTTCAGATTCTGTGTCTCCCTCTCTCTCTGTTCCTCCCCTGCTTGCACTGTCTCTTTCTCAAAAATAAATAAAGGTTAAAAAAAATTAACAACAACAAAAAAAATGTACATTAGAAACATGTTGGACCCCAAGTACTTGGTGAGAAAATGTATCATTTGCTGCTTCTGAACTCTGAAGGTCATTTGTTAGGTAGAATCAAATCTTTAAAAAGGAAGAACTAAGACAACTCAAAATTTTACATTTATTAATTTCTCTATTTCAGATACTTAAATATTCATTACCACAGTTTTTATTTCTATTCATAATACCAGAGGGATATACTATGGGAAAATAGCTCATAATCATTAAAGAGCACATGTTCATTTGTGGGCAATTTAACAATAATGTTGAATTCTAACTGGTTCGTATAGTTCAGAAGATTTTAGCTAACTAGACTAAAACTCAAAGTTTACTTATAAACTAATGTTGCGTATAAAGGTATTTTATTAATTAAAAGATTCTAGTGAGTGTATGTCTCTACATAACAGGCATTTATAGGTCATACCAGACCAAGTATACTTTTATGACAATTTTTATATTCTCAAAATGGCAGCCTAATGTAACACCACAATTTGTTACTCGTACATCAAGATTTTATTTTACATTAACACACACTAAACTCTGCCAGACTTTAGGGATGGTTAAGTAGTTGCACATATTTATAGAGATTAGCACTATTAGTTTCATAAGCTAATATAATTAAAAGGTAAGGAACGTGGTCTGAAGAAAAATCACATAAAACCAGTGGGTACAGATAGAATTCATAAAGGAATATTTTACATTACTAGATGAAAACGTAATCATTGCACATAAGCGTAATTACTTCTGTGCTGATTACTTTATAGTGCACTGGAACTAATATTTTATATAATGGCATTTGCTGCCGCCTAAAAAAGAGGCCACTTCTTAACACCTACAAGAGTGGATATCTTGAACCGTCTCACAATGAACTGGCGACTCCACTTCTATTTAAAAATGAGCAATTATGGCTTGGGGGCAGGAAGCCCTAAGTAAATGACAGGGCCTTTGCTTAGAAGGCGGTTGTTACCACATTTGATTTGGGGGTCAAAAAGGTTGATCCAGATTGAGAAATAACATAACCATTTTTGAGAGCTCTTCAGAAATGGTACCTGAGAGAACACTAGACAGATTGGCTGTTACGAAAGCACAAATTGTATGCTTAGCCATTTGCCTGACACGCTATGTAAATGTAGAAATAACCGTTGTGGGGCAACAGAACTACTGCTTTACTATCTCACAACAGGGGCCTCAACTGCCCCTCTTGTCACCCTGACCCCCCCCCCCCCACTTTCTGCTTTCTGAACATTTGGAGGGTTAAGTTTTGTAGAAAGCCAAAAGACCCCAATGTGGCAGCCCTACCCACTAGCAGCCTAGTGAGAAACCGAACATAAACTGTTGCTCATCACGCTATCTCTGTCTGTGGCTAAAAACTCTGCCTCTGCTATTCGAGCAGCAGACAACTGGCTGGCTGTGTTTCCCTAAGTTCCGCACCCTCAGCTCTGTGTTCTGGTTTCCCACTTAGACGTCACCCCTTGCTGTTTTCTCTATCCTGTCCACTGGGTCTACCACGTCAGGAAAGTTCATCAACAATCAGCTGACTGAAGAAGTCCCGCTGGCATGTGGTGACATGGCTGACACAGGAGATGGAAAAGGGAGAAATGATCGACTGTTGCTCTCAGTTTACAAGTAGCTCAATTCGTCAAAATGAGAATTACAAGAGCCCAGGAACAGGGCTCTGACGCCGTGTGTCAAATCTTACCTTGTTCATCTTCCCTCTTATTTGTCATGGCGGACACTTGCTCTTTAGAAGGCAATGTCTCCTAAACGCTTCGCTTCAGTAGTTTTATGTAAAGAAGGAATGAACCCAGGCGGATGGAACACATATTTACCCAAACTCATTCTTTCTCTGGTACTTTGATCTATGACACAAAACTGTCAATACTAAATTCAATCACTGTCACTTTCAGGTGAAAAGAGTACCACATCATTCCTCAAAGAACACCTGTTGATTTAAGCCAGAGACATCATGCCATGTCATATTTTTCAAATACAGAATATCACACAGACTGGGAAAAGCAAACTGAACTCTGAGACTATCTGAAATAAAAGTACAGTGAAAGGAAAAAAAAAAACATTTTAACAATAAAAAAAAAATATCTATGGCAGACAGGCTGCATACGAAATCTCTAATGTTAAACTAAAAATTCACTTTGCATTTGTTGAGGACTTAATCGAAAAAAAAATTTTTTTAATGTTTATTTTTGAGAGACAGAGAGAAAGAGAGACAGAGCATGAGCGGGGGAGAGGCAGAGAGAGAAGGAGACACAGAATCTGAAGCAGGCTCCGGGCTCTGAGCTGTCAGCACAGCGCCCGACGCGGGGCTCGAACCCACAGACTGTGAGATCATGACCTGAGCCGAAGTCAACACTTAACTGACTGAGCCACCCAGGCGCCCCTATTATTAATGTAGATGCCCCCTTCCAAAAAAAAAAAAAAAAAAAAAAAAA